AGCCTTCGAAGAGGTGTGAGCTGAACTGATTGAGAGTTCTGGAGGAGGTAAAGGAGAGTGTTCATATTTTTTGTTGAGCCTGCAGAGGCTGTAAGTATGACCTATGAACAGAAGCGTTCTGCCTTGGTAGTTTCACATCATCGGTGCCCCCACCTGTATTCACTCATCCAGACACTCGTCTTCCCATCAAATATTTGTGGAACTGCCACTGCACTGCAGACACGTTTCTGGGTGCTGGGGATGCCATCATGGACAGATGACCTGGGTGCCTGCTCTTTGGGAGCTTACAGTTGAAAGGGGGAAGGCTGGCAATCTGATCATTTCAAATAACCAACAACACTGGGCAAAATAAAATGGCCAAATGCGGTGACTAGAGAGAGGGTGATGAGAGGGTGACCCAAGGTCAGGTGGATAGAGAAGGTCTGTCTGAAACTGACACAGGCTGAGACCCGTGTGAGCAGGAGCCAGCCTTATGGTCTGCTCTTGTTCCTGCTCACCGCCATAACACATGACCACGGATGAGTGTCTTAAAACAGCACGCATTTATTATCTAACAGTTCTGCAGGCTGGAAGTCTGACCTGGGTCTCACTGGGCTAAAATCCAGGTGTTGGCAGGGCTGCCTTCCTTTCTGGAGGGTCCAGGGAAGAATCCACCTCCTTGCCTTTCCCAGCTTCTCACGGCCACCCATATCTCTTGGCTTGCAGCCCTCTCCATCTTCAATGCCAGCAACAGTGGATTGAGAACCTTACACACTGCGTCACGCCATCCTCGATCCTACTTCCCTTTTCCACTTTTAAAGACCCTTGTGATTCCATTGGGCCCACCGGGATCATCATCTCAAGATTTCTGTGGGCACTGCCTCTCTGCCCCCTCTGCTGATGTTTCAGTAGGAGAAAGTCCAGCCAAGTGGTGCTGGGGACCTCAGGAAGATGAGGCTGCATCTGGTGGGTGGGTGCTGGTCTCGGTGTCCAGGGACACTGGTCTGCATGGTCTAGGGGCGTGTTAAGCCCAGACTCCCACGGTGACCATGATTCTGGAGTCTCCACTCAAATCTTCCTTCCTGTCCCGTATGCCTGCCAGGCCCTCATCATCCACTGTCTGGACTTCTACGGCTTGGTACTTCCTGGGTTTGTCTCCAGATTCCATTTCTCCCTATGGACACCCCTCAGCTGATGTTTCTAAAATGCCATCCCTGCCTAAAACTTCTCCCTGACTTCCAATAAAATCCACACACCTGAACTTGACTCTTTCCCAAGCTGACCCCCACCTGTCTTTCCTGCCTCGTTTACCGCTCTCTGGCTGTTCCTTGTCCCACGATGCTGACTTCTGCCTCCGCCCCCTCCGCCTTGCTCCTGTGGCTTCTGACTTATCCCGGTAGAAGGAGCACTTCGGCCTCTACATAGTCCGAGGTGCTGTCCTAGTAAGGCGAGGATGTGCAGGATTTCTGTTTGCATGCCTGGGGCCTAGCGGTACAGAGTGCGTCGAACGAATGAATGAGGTGGTGGTAATTCTGATCTCTATGCACCTCTCCCAGGAATTTTCAGAAAGGACCTTCACCCTCCTCCTGTCTCCCTAGGTGGGGACCTTCCCCGTGATGCTCTCTAAGCATGTTCCAGCGGAGGCTGTGGGGGCAGGTGACCCTGTGAACACAGGTGGGGGCCAGGCCTGAGCCCTCCTGCAGCCCTGCCCCTTCCTGCTCCAGCCAGTGGCTGCCGTGTCCCTGCACAGTCACTCCCTGACCACAGGGCTGCTGCTTTGCTCCTGAGCCAGCCACCTCTTTCTTGGCCCCTTTCTGTCTGTAGTGAGAAATTCCTTCGGAGCCTGGACCATGCGCCTGAGGGAGAGAGAGCCCCTGTGGTCTGAAGCAAGACTGAGCAGCCCAGCCCCACGTGCTCGGGCAAGGACATCCTCGTCCTAACCCCCCGGCACTCACAATCCAGCACAAGGGCGGCTCCAGTGCTGCCGCCCTGGTGTGCCCAGCTCTGTGCTGGCCCTCATGGCAACCTTGCGAGGCAGGCATCCTCTTGTTTTGCAGATGGGGAAACTGAGACTTGTGTTCCTTAAAGAACAGAGCTGGGACTCGACCCCAGCTTCTTTCACCCCAAGTCCAGTGGTCACCCCTATCTATTCTGTAGGGTATCCTGGCTTGATAGCAAATGAGCATGCAAAACAGACAGACCAGGGGCATACTCTCCTCTGCCTGCTGCAAGGTGAGATGGTTTCAGGGTTTCCAGAAAAGTGCAGAAAACAAAGCTGCCTCTCTTACTCTTCTCTAGGCGCTTTTAGAAAACCTCCTAGCACAGGGAGTAGGGGTGGGGGGACCCTGGTGTCCTGGATAGTGAATTTCTTATGTAGAAAAGATTTCAATGAATTTTTTCAATGAATTGTTTATCTTTAAAAGTTAGTAAGTTTAAATTCAGCTTTAAAAATATTTTAATAAGTTTAATAGTTAGTAATCATTTAATACATGATATAATTTTGTCTTTGCAATCAATATTCCAATTTAAGATACAAGTTAAAAAACCTTTTTTTAGGCTTTTAAGTTCAGCTTACAAATTTTATTATTCTATTTATAAGTCTAGAAGATTGTAGCAGTAATTTTGGAGGAGGCTTTGAAAAATCCGTGGTTCTATTTACAAGCTTAGCTCAGCACTTCAAGTGCTTTTAAATGCATTTATAAATTTATTTGTTGCTTTTTTAAGTACTTCAGTTTTTCTGACAGCATGCAGAGTCTTCCCCAATCCTAAGTTCTTATAGAAACTAATGAATTAAACTTATAAATAAGGGAAACTTTAAGTGTTTTTATACTCTACTTAAACTTAGATGTCACCATAAAAAAATCACAAGTCTGGATTAATTACTCAATTATACATTTTAAAGTGGAGCTATAAAACTGTCATTCTATCGGGCCTCATTCTCT